GAGGAGAAAGGGATGACCCCGGACGACCTACGTCTCCTAAGTGGTTTCGCCCGTGGGGTGTTGTTATCATTGCATGTACGTGACACGTGTCTGCATTCGGGTTCGTGGCTCCTATCTGGTTTTGTCAGACCGATGCAGTAACTGGCTCGAGGTCAATGGCGGTGCGCAGTTCCGACGCGTGATGTCAGAAGTTTGTGCCTAAGCCGACTCCAGTCAGAATACTGCATTGATGACTTCTGAGGGGCATCGTACCAAAGCCGAGGTCGAGATTTTCCTCAGATTTTCCGAAATTGCCGTGGAGACCAAGAAGCGCGACGTCATTCAGGCCGGAATGGAGATCAGAGCAGAACAAGCAGTGGCTTTCGCCGCTTTCACCTCTTTGTGCGCCCAGGCACGAGGAGTATCGATGAGCTCCCTAACCTGGCGCGATGTGGTGGTGAAGCTTCTCAGCAACGAAGCGCACCTGCCTTTGCAGAGCTGGGAACTCAGCTTCGGGGAACTTTAGCAGTGCAGAGTCATGTCGTACAGTTCAGGTGCACACCACGCATTAATCAATTAGAATACTGTAAACAACGGTTTCTACACTTGTGTGATATTTGTGCTTTCTAGGATCGAATGGCGCATCTCTTCCCCATGCGATGTTACAGGAAGGGTGCAGTACGTTGGCGAGCGCATCAAGTGGTTCTTCCAGATTCAGAAGGAGCTGCCTTCAAAAGCCAGTTGCAAGCACCCAGGGCAGGTCCTTAACCTATGGCTAAGCATAGTCATTTTCGAAGCTCCTGCGCAGCGTCAGGAAGCCGTTGTCGATTTCATGAGCAGCCTCGAGGGGAATCCGAGCTCGACCATGTACTCCAGCCTGCTCTGGAAGAATGTGCGCCCAGGGATTGTCAGTACGGTGCTAGGAAGGCTTGCTGTTGCAGGCAAGCAGATGGAGCCTGTAGCTCCTAAACCTTTCTGTGGGAAGGTGAAGCTCATCAAGCAGAATGAGATGATAAAACACCTGGTGTTCTCCACCTACGACCAGGCCAGGGTGATGGTCAGCGCAGTCCGCAGAAGGCAACCTTAGCTCGATCCCTGGGGCTCTGGAGCTCACTTGTTGGATGGATGCTAAACCGTCAACCCTATAACCCTATATTAATACTCCTATCCAAGCCTGGCCATTTCTGGGCTTGGCCACCTCAAAAGTCAGTTAGCATCAAGCCCGGACAGGCATGTCAGCGACAGCTGAATCAGTTCATCGAGCTTTTCGACAACATGCTTACGTCAGCCGGCTCGGGGAACAGGGAACGGTCCAGTGGATAACCGGCAGCGATTGTTGGGTCATCTAAAACTGAATAGGAACAACAAGGTTTTCCATTGGTAAACCCTAGATGCTGGACAACTGAGAAGGTTGCACTGGAGTCTGGCAGAAGCCTATGTCGTCCGGACAAGAGAACCGTCCAACAACACTCCGAGTAGTCCGAATCAGCAAGAGCTGACCTGAAAACAGTTTCAAACCTCAGCAGGATTGGCCTTTGCGCAGCATTCCTCGCAGTGCCTGCAAGGTTTGTAGTGGACTCTAGAATCTAGAATCCAGAATGTAATGCATGAAGCCCAGCGGCTACAGTAGATGAACATTCCTTACATGTGAGGATGCTTTCTTGAAAAGACCCCTCTGACATTGATGATTTGGCGCATGCCATTTACATGGAAAACCGGTCTTCAGGAGAAAGCTGTGTAAGGTTTGGCCTCTGTTCGAGCAAAAGCCCAGGCCAAAGCGCTCTTCTATCATGTGGTTTCTGATAATGAAAATTGACTCACATGGAGGACGCGAAGCCCCGCAAATCCCGCTCTTGTAGCCAGTTGTCAACCCTTGCCAGTCGTTTCTTCCAACTCCGATCTTGGTCCTATCTACCCCAACTAATCATCCAACCTTCCAACTCCGATCTTGGTCCTATCTACCCCAACTAATCATCCAACCCCCAAACCGACCCAGACCCTAACCCTGGAACCTGGGTTCCAACCCCGAAGCCTAAACAAAACTTAGCGTTCTGTCTGGCAGCGGATAGAAAAGGGCCCGCCAACAACGACATTAAACTTCGCCCCAGCCGCAGCCCTCGTTCCAATTCACAGCCAGGTCTACTTTTGCCAATCCGTGGGTCTTCCTAAAGGGAGCCACCTACGGCGGCTACACTGAGGAGGCTTGCATCAGGGCTTCTGACCACCGTGAAACGGAGGGGGCGCAGAGGCTTTTTCAGAACATGTAAGGACTACATGGCAGGCGCGCAGTTGACAGAAGGGGTGTCTTTGGGATCGTAGATCAGTATTCGCTTTGGGCAGGACACCGAAGTGAATGATTGCGTTCGTTGGCAAACTGCTCGTTAGGGTGCTGTGGCTTGGCACCCCAAATGGTTTCGTGGTCCAAACATGCGGCTTCGGAGAAAGGCGTGGTAAGTGACTACTTGTCCTCACCGGGGTTAGAGGTCAATGCAGCTCGAGCAGTAGCATGTAGGGTAGCTGATCTCAGAGCAAATCCTGACAGGAGGATGCAGATGCAGCGCTTCCCTCCATAGACGACACTAAGGAGCTGTTACAAGCAGAAATTGTAAGAAAGTGTTGTGCCGTGAGCCGTTGCGCGGAAGGAGCGGATTCCGAAAGAGATCCAGAGTCGGTCTGGGATCGAGAGCACGCTTTCCAAGTGGCTGCTCGAGATCCCCACGGAGTCACATCAGATTGATGAGGCTGGACGTTTTCCGCTTGAAAGCTAGCGGATTGCATGAGCAGACCCCCCGGATGTGTTGCAGTTGCTGTTACTTAGGGCTCCATGGACGGTCTCGCTGGTCCCAGGCAGTGGACAAGGTCCAGATGCTGGTCCTTAAAACGTACAGCTTCATTAGATCCCAGGTGTGCGATCAGGCAGGCATCTGCGCAACTCTCTTGAGGTGAAACACATGATGATGACGAGAAGCATGACTTGCAGGTAGAACTGTTTGCAGAGTCCTTTTTCAAGCTGCCGATGCTGCGCCGACTAGAAGAGGACGAGAACGGCGTACAAGCGTATCTGTTTATTCTTGATCCCACATCTTCGTACATGTGTTTTGCTCGAGGACATGAACAAGATCTCACTCTCTGATGCAGATAAGACAAACTACAAGGCTCGCAGCGACATATGGCTTGAGCTTCGGCTTTAGGGCAGTTGCTGCGTCCTTGCATGTTCCCCATCATGTTTCATAACAGCTGCTCCCCGTGACAATCCACTAGCATCCTCAAAAGAACCCTTTGAACGGAGGATTGTCATCCTTAGGTGTTAAGTTGAGGGCCTGTTCATAATTGCCAGATTTGCCAGCTCCTTTCAAGGCGTCACTGTAGTCATGACTATCCCCTCATGATTCTGAGAGGCCCAGCCCCTACATGGAGGGTTTCCCAAAATTAGGGGTACCACTCAGGGGGTCCCTATAATATGGACTATAGTATTTTGGGGTCTATATTGGGATTCCCTTCTTTAGGGAAACTACCAATACCCTATAAACACTTACATAAACCCAGCTTCCATTTCATTTTCCATTTTCTTTTCCATTTGATTCTCCATTATGGGGTATATATACCTAAACATCCTAAACCCTAAACCCCAAATCCAAAACCCTAAATCCAAAACCCTAAACCCTATTTTTGAGTCGAGTCCTGAGCGTGCTGGCTGAGATTTGCTCTTGAAAGTGTGATTTTCCTCGTTCGGTGAATGCTGCACTTTCTTTCCTGGCCAGAGTTTTGGATCCGACTGGAGTACCTCCGGGATCTGGGCCGTGCTCATAGAGCATCTCGCTTGGATTATCAAGTGGAGAAAAGGTCCGACAAAAAGCAACAATTATTTTTCCTGTAAATCCTAGACCCTAAATCCTAAATCCTAGACCCTAAATCCTAAATCCTAAACCCTAAATCCAAAACCCTAGACCCCAAATCCTAAATCCTAGACCCTAAATTCAAAACCCTAGACCCCAAATCCTAAATCCTAGACCCTAAATCCTAAATCCTAGACCCTAAATCCTAAATCCTTGACCCTAAATCCTAAATCCTAGACCCTGAATCTTAAATCCTAGACCCTAAATCCTAAATCCTAGACCCTAAATCCTAAACCCTTTTCCTTGGTTTCTGCGCATCTTCCTGGCCGGCTAGGCGCGACGCGAGCGCCTGGAGGGAGAGGTGACCAAGGCGCCGAGCAGCTGCATGTCTTACTGGGGGTGAGTGGGGTTTAGGATTTAGGGTTTAGGATTTAGGATTTAGGGTTTAGGATTTAGGGTTTGGGGTTTAGGGATAGTAGGGAATAAGGGAAAATAGAGGTATAATGGAGGGTTTAGGGTTTTGGGTTAGTAGGTTATGAGGGAACATAGGATGTATGATATAGGGTTTAGGGTGTTGGGGTTAGGAGGGAATGAGGGAACATAGGGTGTATAATGTAGGGTTTAGGGCTTTGGGTTAGTAGGAAATGAGGAAATGTAAGGGTGTAATATAGGATTAAATAAGGATAATGGCAAAGAAGATGGAAATTGCCATTCAGGGTTTAGGGCTAGTAGGGAATGAGGGAACATATTTCATAGAGTTTACATAGGGATTCAATCCCTTTATTCTCTCCAAGGACCCGTGAGAATTTCAATGCTCAGGGTTGAGGATTTCGGAGTTTAGGGTTCAGGATTCAGGGTTTGGGGTAGGAGTTTAGGGTTGAGGGGTTCAGGTTGAGTGGTTTACTGTAGTATTTAGGGCTTTTGAATTTGAGGGTTTGGGGCTTTCAAAGTGCTCAAGGACTTCGGTTACCCCAAACCCAAAAATTACCAAAACATACAGTAGGGAGAATCAAATGGAAAACGAAAAGGAACATGAAAATGAAATTGGCGGGGACGATGTACGGGCTTCCCAGTGTTAGGGTTTAGGGCTTAGGGAGGGGTTCAGGGTTTAGGGACGAGCAAAGAGTCTCTTCTTCGCTCTGCTAAAGTCAATCCCCAAAACAAGATAAGTGTCTATACTATACGTGCATTTTACTTTTGGCCTTGTCTGCTCCAAGAAGAACGCGGGACAGAAACACTACGACTGTGATCCAGTTCTGAAACTTGGGAAAACTGCGTGCTTTCATGGTTGGAGCAGGAAAATTCGGCGGCGGCCAGGTGATGCCGCAGAATTCCTGAGCTAGCTTTGCAGAAGGAATCAGAAGCAAGTTCGTGACATTAGTAGGCTTTGAATGGCGCACGTGAGCTTAGAAAGTGGCAGGTGCGAGAAAACTTGAAAGAGGTGTCGGAGTGCATCGAGAGGCTACAGGCACGGACGCTTGAACAAACACACATTGTACTGAGATGATCTGAGAGGCTTTGCTTGATTGGGATGAGACATGTGAGACTCTGTGAGACTGAGGGCTTCAAGCTCAAGTGCAACGCGCAGCGAGCACACTGAGCGGGAGACTCTGCTTGGGCCGGGAGCATTTGCAGTGATCGGTCTGCGCGGCTACCCCTGTGGTCTTCACGGCGGGGGCAAGGGCAGGTCCATCCTTTGCAGTGCCTTGGCCCTTTGTTCATAGTTCTTGCGCGAGTCTGTGCGCTGAATAAGCCACGTCCAATTCAGAGCCGTGTGTGCGCCGCTGTGGGATGCTCCACACGCCGGGACGTGAATGGATGTTGACAGATAGACATGCAACTGCGATTAGGCAGCACATGCAGCACGAACTCAGAATAGCTTTGAGAACCACGTGCAGTGCATTGCAGTGCACTCATCCTCTTTGCAGTTCGAGGCCACGTCCGTTAAGCACAGGCGGCAGTCCTAGATCGCCACCGCACTCACCGCACGTTCAAGCTGTAAAGCAGCAAGGAGGGGAGGATTAATTGAGCCACGTTTGCTTGAAAGGGCCCTGTCTGCACTGGCTTCATGCATTTCTGGGACTATCTGACTATCCAAGTCTTCGGACCCTCTCTGCAGCAACCGCCTGCATCGCAATGGCCGCAGCAAATTTACATGTCACAAGCTGCCCAGTAGTTCTTGCGTCAGCGCAGGTACAGCCGCTACCATGGATTTCAAGAAGCGTAGACATTTCTTGCAGCCAGCACAAGCAAGGCAGTGAGATGGCGGAATGTCAGGAATCCGCCAAGCTAGCAGTTCCGCTTTATGTAAAGGATTCCCGTGCTTCAGACCTGCCATGGAGCTGCTTCCAGCGCTGGATCGTGTTGAGCCTGTTCAACGGGCTGGCTGCGCATTGCCACCTCAAAAACCTCGAAGCCAAAGTGACGGAATCCGCCCAGCCTCTTTGGCTGCCTTGCTTGCTGGCCTGGCCCAGACTGCTCAACGGGTTCACCGTGGCCGGCGCCCACGGAACCTGGGGTTGGGTACACTTCCCAGCGGCAGCAGCTGCTGGCGGGGGCACGCCATATCTGAGTCGTCCCAAGTGAGGCTGCGAGCCTGCTCCTGAGAGGCGGCAGCTTCTACAACTTAAAATCCCAATTTGCATGGTTCTTGCTCCAAGGCTGCGCCTATTGGGGAGAAGGCCACATACCCATTCCTCGGCAACTACCCTTCCATGATATTTCATGCCTGCTGCTTTCAAGGTGGTGGGCATTGACCTCGGCACCAGCAACTCAGTCGTGGCGGCGGTGGAGGCTGCCACGCCAGCCATCATCCCCAATGCGGAGGCGAGACTTGGGTTAGTGCGAGTCCAAACCCTCTCACAACGACCCTGCCCACGTAAGTTTGCTACAACATGAGGAGCTGCAAGATTTCCTCCATGCCTCGTGCTGCTGCTGCTGCTGCTGCTGCTGCTGCTGCCTCTGCTGCAGCCCTTTAGTTGTTGTCATTCGTTGCCTGCCAGGGTGAGCGCACAACGCCGAGCGCGCGAAGCTCATTAACTCAACACATAAGAAGTGCAGCTGGCTAGCTGGGCATTTCCTTGCCGGCGTGTTAGGTCGTTGCCTACTCGAAGGATGGAGAAATCCTCGTCGGGACGACAGCCAAGCGGCAGGCAGGCTACCACGAAGTAAGCCACTCACCACAGCTCAGACCCTGATAAAAAGGCCTTGCAGCATGCTACCGCATGCATATCAGGCGGCGCTGAATCCCTTGAACACCTTCTCCTCCGTGAAGCGGTGGTTCGGACGAGGGTACAACGAGGCTCCATGCTGGCATCTTTCAGGATGCAAAATCCAACCGGTGCACTTTGGACTGCATGTTTCAATCAGTTGAGATGTGCCCTGGTCATACGATGGCTTAGTACCCAGGCGGCAGACATGTTCTGCAGGCCTGCAGACTAAGCCCCCTAAAGCCATCCATGCCTGATGCCGCAGATGAATGCTAGAGCTAGTCCCAGCAAACTGGAGGTGAAGGAGGCCGCAGCTTCCACACCATATCACCTCACTGACGCAGACGGGAAGGTGTGAGCTTTCACCGTCCAACCCTTTCTGGCTCTAAGCTTCTACGAATGGCTTCGAAAGGTACGGCTGGACTGCCCGGCCCTGGGCCGGGACCTGCCTCCAGAGGAGATCTCGGCCCAAGTCCTGAGGCCTTCCAAGGGAGAGCCAGCCCTGAAACATGATCCACCCTGGAAGGAAGCTCCGCAGTGACGCGGAAGCTTACCTGAATACCAAAATCAAGAAGGCCGTGATCACTGTCCCGGCGTCTGGGGCACAGTCCGCACAAGTTTGATACTCACCGACGGAATTGCTTTGAGCCCTAGGTATTTCGATGACTCCCAAAGACAAGCCACAAAGACAGCTGGAAAGCTGGCTGGCCTGGATGTCATGCGGATCTGCAATGAGCCCACAATGGCCGCTCTTGCGTCTGCGGGCTCAATTTCCACAGCACCCAAAGCCTCGTGTGTAAGCTTGCGGGTGTCCGCTTGCAACAACTGCTGAGAAAGGTATGGCCTGGACCAGAAGAACTCGTCTGGGCCCTAAAGCAACGGCTGCTTGGCACCGCCTCCAAAGCTCGTGCTGCATGCCACCGACCATCAGGTCCTACCTTCTTGTTTTCGATCTGGGCGGCGGCACCTTCGACGTTTCCATCATGGAGGAGTGATTGAGCATGCTTCCTTGCTTTGGCATAAGCATATGCCCGCAGGCTGGTGATGGGATATGTGAGGCAGGACAAATCTGTCTGAAAGGTCCTTCCTGTTCCGTTCCAGTTTTCCTGCGATCGTTGCCCCGCACGTCCAGGTGCTGGCCACCAACGGCAACACGAACCTCGGCGGCGATGACTTCGATCAGCGGATAACACGGTGGTTGCTGGAAAGCTTTCAAAAAGAGACCGGACTGGACCTGCATGGTGTGGCTTTGCAGCAGCTATGCGGGATAGAGGCTACCAGAATCTTGCGCGCACGTCCAAGATATGGGTAGTTTCCCTAAATGGGGGGACCCCAACATAGACCCCGTGACTATAATCCTCATCATAGGGACCCCCAAACAGGTATCCCTCATGTTAGGAAACCCCCATATGTTCCTCTGCCAAGGACAAGCAGGCTTTGCAGCGGCTTGCAGAAGCAAGCGAGAAAGCAAAGGTAGAGCTCTCCTCCTTGAACGAGGCCTAGCGGGTCAATGCCTGGAACGGTAAAGCCAAGTGGAAGAGGCTTCCTTTGATTTTGAACAGAAGAGTGTCAGCCAACATGATGAAGCGGACCAGCTAGCAGGTGCGAATCTCCGTCCCTTTCATCACTGCAGATGAGTCGGGGCCAAAGCATGTGGAGGAGGTGCTCACAAGAGACCATTTCGAGGACCTCGAAACAACATGACGTTTTAGCGCAACTTCTTGAGTTTGAGCATGCGTGGGGCATCTCATTTTTTGTCATGATTCCTGCGGCCCGACTTCCCGTGCCAATTCTGCGGAGCTCTGGCATGTTCAGGGGCTTCAAGCAATGCACTCTCGGCAAGAAAAGTTGCCTACAAGTTGCAGGATCTCTGTGGAGACCTCCTCCAAGGCTTGGAGCAGCCTGTTAGGCAAGCACTGAAGGTGGCCGTGCATTGGTTTGGACTTGTCCGGATGATGTCGCCGTTCATAACATGCAGTTAGCGTGCGCTTGAGCAACTCTAGATTCACATTCTCAACAAGTTAGCACAGAAAGCTAGGTTAGGTTCAGATGAGGTTAGCACAGAAAGCTAGGTTAGGTTCAGATGAGGTGAGGTCTTGCTTCTATGTTGAGACGGGTTTCTGCCCTGTGTACCTCTCTACATTGATGCCAGGATTCTCGTGTGAAGGCACAGAATCTGCACGAGGCTCTGCATCCGTTGATTATCATTGCATGCTGCGCAAGGCTGCTTTGATGAAGGTTGTAAGTGTGCTGATACAGTATTTCGCTGCGCAGCAGGTCATCCTTGTCGGAGGCTCCACGAGGATACCGGCTGTGCAGAATGTGGCCAAGGAGTGCATATGTGAAGAACCCCCCATACCTAAGGCATGTTTGTGTTTTGGCTACCACATTTGGTTGCAGGAGCTTAGCTCCTTCAAGCCGATGAACGTCTCTATCAGCCCAGATGAGGCACTGATACTCAGCCAATCCATGTTTCATCGTGCCATGCGTTCCATTGATCTTGTCCATAGACCAAAGCTCGCTACGGAAAAAGACAGCCTGCCACAGTGGTTGTGTTCTGCTGCAATCAGGTTGTCGGAATCGGAGCTGCGATCCAAGCTGCGATGATTGCTGGTGAGGCAAGACGCCTCAGAGCGCCTTCCCCTGAGATGTAAGAGCCCCATGGTCTTGAATTACATGAGGTCAAAGACATCATGCTGATTGATGTGACGCCGCTGACACTGGGAGTGGAGACGGACGGCGGGGTTTTCTCTCCCGTCATGGATCGCGGAACCGCGGTGCCCTGGAAGGCACGGGAGTGCTCAAGAATTTTTCAGAAGCTAGCAGGGGTTCAAGTAGGCGCTCTTGGCAGGCGACCAAAGTCTTCACGACCTCTGCAGATGCGCAGGATGCCATCGAGGCTGGCAAAGTTCAACTTCAAGGGTAAAACCAGGAACTCATGCCCGCAAAGAGTCTTGAACCTGATGGCCCGGACCAACAATCTCTTCAATCTCTTTATTTGAGGTTCTTAGCGTCGCAACGTCAAAACATATCAAAACTCAGCAAGAACACCACTGCAACAAATTGTTCAGATACGTACGCGCTTGCGCAGTGGACGCTTGTACGTCCCCTGAAGCACCAGGTGGTGGTGCTGCAAGGAGAGCGCCCCCTGGCCAAAGACAACAAGAAGCTGGGGATGTTTCGGCTGGATGGCATCCCCACAGCACCGAAAGGCAGCATGTCTCCACAAGATATGAGAAGACCAAGCGAGATCAGCAAGACTGCGGATGCCAGGTGTCCCCAAGATCGAAGTTTCATTCGACATTGATGTTGAGGCTTCCGCAGTGGGGAGGGACCCCAATAATGGAGAATCAAATGGAAAAGAACATGGAAAATGAAATGAGACTGGGATTATTATGGGTTATATCAGGGTTATATTGGGGTAATATATTGGGATAATGGAAAAGAACATGGAAACTACTATAATGGGGCTATATTGGGTTTTATAGGGGCTATATATTGAATATGCCGTGTCTACCAAGCTCATCACAAATCAAACCTTGCATTGACGACATCTCAGCATGCTGGCCCTCAGACCGCCCTCTCCTTCCCTGTGGCAGGGCATTCTCACAGTGTCTGCCAAAGATTGGGGAACTCGAATGCAGCGCAGCATCAAGATCGAGGAGCCAACATCTGTTCTGTAGATTGTGCAGTGTGCATACCTCCAGGAAGAGTTTCAGATCTGAGTGCGGTAGGGCTTTTGGCATTTCAGATGAAGAACTAGGCCTGCCCCAGCTGCCTTGTCAATTGCTTTTTGGAGAGAAGGGAGCTCAATATGGAACCATTGCAAAACAGGCTACAGCAGTGCCGTCGCAGCATTTTTAAGCGGAAACTGCGCGCTTTCTGGAACAGGACTCCTCCACCCTGAGCGACGAGGAGGCCACGTGCAAAATGGTAAAAATGCCAAGCGTGCGTTTCTCTTTAGAAGGAGTTTTAGCAATCGTGTTGCTCACATTTGCATCTTTGTTTTGTGAAGCGCCGCCAAAATCAAAGATGTGGGACATTGTCTAGGCGGAAAGACAACAAACTTGAACGCAGTTGCAGGTAGCTAATGCCTGCGCAGAAAGCAATGTAAAAGCTCCAACTGATTACGTTCTTAACCAACTTCCACCCAGTCTTGATGTCTTATTACCCTCATGTACCGTCAGCCGGACGACCAGTTGCAAGGTGCAGCGCATCCTGGATAACGCGGAAGACAAGGAGCTGGAGGACGAGGAGGCCAAGTTTAGACTGGAGCTGAGGCGCGGCGGCCCAAAGCCATAGGGATAATGGAAAAGAAAATGGAAACTACAGGGATTATAGGGGGTTTACATAGGGATTGTAGGGTATACTATTGGGGTTATATGGGGATAATGGAAAAGAAAATGGAAACTACTACAATGGGTTATATAGGGGTATGTGGGGTATATAGGGTTTATATAGGGATAATGGAAAGGGAAGGACTTTACTCAGGGCCTTGGGGGGTTGGAAGAAGTTAATGGAAAGGAACATGGAAAACTACTATAATGGAGAATCAAATGGAAAAGAACATGGAAAATGAAATGGAAACCGGTGTTATGTATGGGTTATATGGTGTTCATCTTGGAAAAGAAAATGGAAACTACTATAGTAATATAGGGTTATATGGGGTTTGCTGTTAAGGAATTTCATATAAGCTGGTATATTGGGGAAACCTCTTAACTATTATGGTATATACCCATTATGGCAACTTAAAATTTCCTTAACAGCAACCCAGTCCTGAGTGTGGATGCTGGGTTGATCGGAATTGGCGCTGGGGTGAAGGTACTCTGCAGCTAACCTTCTGGAGCAGACCGAGCAGAATCTGCTGGAGCTAGGCTTGCTTTGCCTGCAGATTAAAACCATCACCAGACAAGATCCATCTTGTGGCTTTGCGGCTGGTGAAGTGAGTGTGTTTGTGCAGGCTACAAGGCCCCAGCAGACGCGCGCGTGGGCCTGCAGCCAAAGCTGGATGCCGTGAAGGCAGCTTTTTTACTGGTGGTACAAGTGCTGCAATGAGGCCGAGATCAGAGCCTCTGTCTACTTCGGGCAGCTAACATCAGATAACTTCACTGAGCTTGGTAGGATTCCTTTGCACCCAACAAAACCCTGGGGTTGGGTGGTCCCAGACATTGTACTCGTACCTCTTTGGTATGCCAGGAAGCTCTGCAGGAAGATCCTGACTGCGACTACGTTCAGCTTAAAGACGCGGTAGACGTCCGCTTGCTTGTTTGAGTGGGAGGGTTCAGTGAAACTCCTCAAGATTTATGCGCTGAATGGAGAATGCAAATGTGTGCCTTCCCTCTTGCGGGTCCTTCGCGCCAGGATTTGCGCTTCGAGCTCATGAAATTGGGATTGCGCGTTTACGGAAAGCAGGCGGGACATTTTAGTTTCAAGATCCTCGGGCCATGCTAGCCTCCACTCGGATATCGCAAAGCCTTCGTCTCTCACTGTATCTGATCGTGTGATGCCTTTCAAATCGGAGTGCGACCGACGGCATTGGTCATAAGTGTCTTTCTGACATAGCCATTTCAACTTATGACAAGTTGAAGTTGATGTGACATCTTGCCCCATCCCATTGCCATTTTGCGAACATGATGGTAGGTGGCTCCGGCTGGCACCCCGGGCCCTGCGGCGCCTCGCCGTGAAGGCGGTGTCGCAGGAGGCGGCTACGTCTTCCAGGCGCTTCGTGAAAGCCTGGGGTCCAGTGCTCGTTGTGAGAAGCATGACTTCTTCGTGTTGTGTCGGACCTGTTGACATCCTCTGAGCTGTCAGGAGGAGGATCCCGACATGCCCGGAGATGAGGCGGAGGAAGCTGCGAAGTGGGCCGAGAAGAGGAGAAAGGCCGCTGCGGCGGCGAAGCCAAGGCCGCTGGACGAGGACGACTAACACATTCGCTCTTATTCGAAGCTTCCGGTGCCTCGGGGCCTGGACCAACGCTTTTCCGAAACGGTGCAGCTCGCAATCCCACAACCAGCGAAAAAAAGGAACCTTGGACTGCAGGGTTGCCATTGGCATCAGCGCCTACACTGCACCGCTTTCCTGATTCATGGACTTCGATGCACCGCAAGTCATCACCTGTTTCTGCTCGCTCCGTGATAAGAACCCTATACTGGCTCACAAACGGATGCAGGGGTGCCCATCATCCCGCTGCATTCGCTCAAGTCGCTCAGCTTCATGGGACCGCTTGCTGTCTTTTAGCCCAGCATGAGCGCCCCCGCTCCATGGCCTCAGAGGCGGACAATGTGCAGTCCTTAACTGTTCAGGTTGGCTAGCTGGTAATTATAAAGCACGCTAACCTACATTGAATACACTATAATACACGATAATATACCATAATATACGATAGTATACTATAATATACTATAAAAGAGATACTATATGGCACAACTCGTCATTGTCATGAACCACAAGAACATGTGCCAACGCCATGCGGCAGGGAGATCAAACAACCTGCGGACATTTCATCGATGCCTTAGATATCCTTTTCAGCTGCCAAACAAACCCAATACTACCCAATATTTACCATAGTAATAGTAGTAGTAGTAGTAGTAGTAGCAGTAGCAGTAGCAGTAGCAGTAGCAGTAGCAGTAGCAGTAGCAGTAGCAGTAGCAGTAGCAGCAAACCCTAAACCCTAAACCCTAAACCAATAACAGTAAAATAGTAATGAAAGTAATATTTGTCTGCTACTTGAAGCTCACCGAAGGCTCGGCCTGGCGCTCAAGGGGGGCAAACGCAATGCTGGCCTGCTTGGAAGGAATTGCAAAGTTCTGGACTTATAGTAGATAAGAGTATATTGTAGTATTATTGTGGTACATAATAGTACATCATAATATCAGTATAGTACATTATAGTATATTCTTGTTTATGACAGTATATTATGGCTGCCTTGCAAGGGGTCCTAAATGAGACAATGCGGATACAAGAACCATGAAGGATCCTAAGCCTAGGCTTAATTTTGACAAATAGAAAATTCCCAAATCCCCTGTAATCTTAGCCTCAGCATGATAAAGGCCCCCCCCAAGAGGATAACTGCCATTTTGAGAGTCTTGCCCTGTGGCCAGGCATGGGGGCGAGTGCAGTGCCCCTGGCCCCAGCATCTGCTTACGTGTTTCCAAAAATCGAGGGCTCCGATTCTGGATGACTGCGGGGATCATTGTTGGGATCCCTTTCGTTCTGAGTGCCAGGGAGTTGATGGTGCCGCCTTTGTCCTTCAAACACGTCATGGAACGGTGGTGGGCAATGTTGGGCATTTGAGGTGGAGACACCTTTGGACCAGGCAAAGGCGAAAGCCATCCTCGGATCGAGGATGACGAAGGAGCTATCGGTCAGCTCTGATTCAAGCTACTAATCTCCTGTGCTGCTAGAGTTGTTGTTCCTGGTACTACTGCCGGTGGCAGAGGCAGTGTAGTACGACAACGCCGCCTTCACCGCCGCCGTGGCTGCGCTGCTGCCGCCCCCGCCACCACCGCAACAATGGTCATTAATTAATTCCATCATGGACAAACAAACCACTGGCGCTGCAATTCGAATGTCAAGCAGAGGTCAACAGGAATTGCTGAGCAGGAGACAGAAAGATTCGCCGCGATCCTGAAAGCGAGCATGCAGGCCCAGCGGCCAGAAGTATCTTGTTGACGGTGTGGCTAGCGGGGCTGCTGAGGCTTTTGGCCCATCTGTACGCCTTGAAATGCCTTAAGTTCGGTGCCTGTCGCTGAGGTTCCTAAAGGCTGGGCACCTGACCCTGCCTCAACGTCAGCATCTTGCCATAAGTGAGAAGTGAGTTCTGGCCGAGCACCTGAGAAGTAGACACCGCAGTCCTGTTCGTTGGCAACGAGCGCTTGTGCCAGACGTCCTCAAGCACAAGGATTGCCAACAGCCCGTGGAGCCAAATCGGTTCCAAGGCTACCAGGGCAGTGAGGAGTAGGAGCTTCAGCACGAACTCTGCGCTTCAGAAGGCCTTGCAGCCGAGTGCTGCCGAGAACTGGAAGGGATTGAAAATCTTACGGTGCGACCGGAAAAGGCGCATGATGACTGTAGCTGGCCAGGGAATATAAGATAGGGCAGCAGTGTGCAAGTGTTTTGCTCATCAATGGCCTCATGTTTCTTGGCCCTAGGTGCAGCACACCATGGTAGGGGATGCATGATGGGACCATCACACGGGATAGCCAAGCATCCTTTGAACTGTTGTATGCAGCCCCCATTCTTCAGCCCAAAGCCAAACTGACCCCTCACATTCATCTCTACTTGGCCATGAGGGCCTTCAACGCGCCTCAAACTGCACGTGAACAGCACATAGACATGGTTGAGGTGCATCTCCACAGAAGGCCCCCAAAGCCTAGATAAGTAGGCACAAAACCGAATTCAATGCTTCGATTCTGGTCTTAAGGAGCCAGCCAGGACCACAGCATGGCATGGCACTGCTACAGCGGCTTTCACGGCTCGTTCAAGAAAGTGTGGTAGTAGCACTTGCAAAGCATGCTAAAGCCTGCTGGTAGCTCCGAGCCGCAAATACACAGTAAGCTGAGCTAGGTAACTGCAGTTGCAGATGATCAGATGCTCACTCAACTGAGGCCAGCATGGATGCGACAGCGATCGCAGAGGCCCCAAAGCGGAAGGCCGGAGGGTTCTGTTACAGCACCTTCTCTGGTGCCTGAACCACGGCGGACGTGGAGAGCCCCAACCCGGAGCCGCAACGTAAGCCACGCATGCACTCCTGGGCGGCAGGCCAAAAATTTGAAAACGGATGACTCCCACCTGCGGAGATCTTACGGAAATATCTAATGTTTGCCAGCGTCCTACAGCGGCCATGCTGAGACCGAATTGTGCTTGATGTTTGCAAGGTGGATGTTTATGTGCTTCCCTGCCGACGGCAACTGTTGCTTTCAGGATGATTTCTTAGCGTTCCCAGCTGTCATTACAAACGATCAAGCGAACGAATTGTGCGGCAGGAAGAGACTGAAATGCGTCCAGACGCAGACCCTTTCACGCTTGCAGGGAATGCTGGGACCGTTGCCACTGGCGAGGATGTTGCAGGGACGGAGGCAGGGATGGCTGAAGGAAGAGACAACTACAAAGCGATCATGTAGTTTATAAGGCTTGAGATCAGGATTTCAACGTCTGCGATGTGCGGTTTAAGAGGGCATCTTGGCATCAAGACAACTTCAGGAGTACGAAAATGCTGCAGATGATGGAACGCCTAGAGCGGGCGTCTTTCATGCAGATGCCCGTCGGCAATCAAGCGCCATTGCTGTGCTAGCTTTTACCCCGGTTTTAAGAAGTTTTGGTGTTTTTGAGGCTGTGCTGTGTACTGCTCCATGCCAAGGACCAGGCAAAATTTTCCAACGATAAGCTAGTCTCAGGCGCAGCTTGTCTTGCCCTCTGTTGATTTCAGCCAGATTCTGCCTCTTTGCGTGCAGGTGACACAGACTTTCGACTGAAGGAACAGCTGTCACCTGCTTTAAGGTGCGGAAATTATTCCCTTGGATGAAACACTGGGCGACAGAATCAATATCAAATAAGCTATGAGTAGTAATGGGGGCTGCGCAAAGCTTGGGTCACCAAGTGTCCTCTTATATCCCCAAAGACAAAAATACCTCCTGATCAGGACGCATGCAGACCCCCCAAGAAGCACGCATGACATGTGTTCTAAGACGCATAAGACACCATAACAAGAACTGCCAGGCAAGAAGTGGAGCAAATCAAGGCAGATATCGCTGCCCAGCAGGCCCTCAAGGCAGCCGAAAATGGAGGCCGCAACTGCACGAGGGCTAAGGGGGAGTGGATTGGGACATGTATGTATGTATGTATATATATATATATATGTAGGGGTTTCTATGTATATACAGATCTGTGCAGTGCGTGGCAGTCATAAGGTCTTAAGGGTAGTTGTGGGTGGAGGTCAGCATACCTTCTAAGCATGTTCGGCAGACAGGCTGTGTTTTCATTAGCTGGGGAGAGAGTTGCCAAGATATTTCTTAGGTTGCTACTATCATAGCATGTCAAAGAGGCATCTGTGCTGTAAGCCCACAGAGTTGCAACATGCTGCCATAATCCTATGCTGTGTATTGTGAATGTAACTCAGGTCCCATGCCCACTGAGTGTTCTTGATGCTATCATCGGCCATTCTGCGTTATTATTACCAGACCGGATACTACTGTTGTCAGGCCATCATTTTTTGCAGTCAGCATTCCTCCTACAGTCTGACATGATCGTCATTGCTGCTATTGCCGTTATGACCGCTGTGGTCTTCGTCCATGTTCAACTGTTCACCTTATCCCAATCGCATCGTTGCAGATCATGGGCATGGCGTTGCAGGCCAAGATTCAGCCACTCTGACCGATGTAGCGGAGACGGACAGCAAGGCTGAGGCTCAGCTGGCTGCAACGTTCTTTAAGACTGTTCCCAGAAGCATTGAAGATGCGCGTTGCTTGGCTTGCGCTGCTGATGTGTGATGCTTGCGGTAATGTGGGATGTGTGCAGATATGTGCTAAATATTCTTAGTGGAGTTCGTGGAAGGCTGTCAGGTTGGTATTCTGGGCCGAAGGCCCTCAGGTTTGCCTAGATTTCTATGAATCGACTTTGTTTGAAATGAAAGCTTGAGGCCCGTCCGCAAAAATCAGAGGTTTAAGGCCACGTACAGGATTTGTGGCTCGGCTATTCATCACGGAATGGAAGTGTGTCATGGGAACTAGTCACGCCCCTGAGTGCCATTGCACAGAACTGGCGCTTCTTACACATGGCAGGCATGCTTGATACTTTCCAGCTCAAGTGCGGCTCATGTGGCCAAGTCTGCCTCGGCAAGGTTGTAGCCTTTGGGTTGAAAAGCCTTCCCGTAGTGCCGCAGTCGCAGCAGCGCCGCAATGCGGCCCTGCCAGCGCGCCCAGTGCAGCAAGTGTGGCAAAAACGTTGGTTTTTTCGGAGTGCGAGGCCTGGGCCTGTCCCTGAAGTTCCACGAGGCCAGGTGCGGGGGCATCCCAGCAGAACCACAGCCAGAGCAGCTCGCTCCACCACCCTTTCTCCCGCACGTGGATCGGCAAGTTGACATGGCGGTCCTCAAACTTGAGGACCAAGTCAGGACCCTCTTCCTTCCAGGAACAGAGGTCCGCAAGATCATGCAAGAGCACCCGGACTTGGGCAGAGAGATGTTGAATCTCATCATCGTTACATGGCGCCCTGGCGCTGGAGGCAACGCACCCCTCCGAGCATTACTTGCCAGAGGCCCAGGTGGGCTTGGGTAAAACCCCCTTGTCAGAATTTATA